GCTGGAGCGGGACAGGTGAGTAAGAGGTGCGCCTGGGCCCAGGAGCCCTCCACACAGAGACTGGGCCACCAGTGTTGACTGGCACCAACTTTTTTTTAGACTAGGAACTGAGAATGCGAATTTTATTCAATAAATAAAGTCATTACGAAACTATGTGCTTCAGCCATATATTATGATTTGCTAATGGGCAGAGGAAGAGTGAAAGAGAGAACTAGAGGGAAAGAAGAAAAAAACAGGAAGAAACTATTAAGGAGAGGACACCTACTGTGTTCCTGCTTTTTAAAATGTCAGTAAAGCATTGTTTACAGATCTTCAACTGCTCCAATCCCTAAGCCTGCTTACAATGAGATCCTTTCAGCAGACCACCAAGGAAGACATTCTTTGGGGGATGGGAGCAGCAATGGTGAACAGAACAATGTTAGGATGATATCAAGCTGGGAAGCAGATGGGAAGAAAGTTCTATAATCTGTGCCAGGTAAAATTCCTTGTGAAATCCCAGTCCTCAATGCAGCTCTTTTCACAGGTACCTATTTTGTAGAGCACAGTGCATAATTTTTAAAAATATATTTTTATTGATTTTTTACAGAGAGGAAGGGAGAGAGAGTTAGTTAGAAACATCAATGAGTGAGAAACATCGATCAGCTGCCTCCTGCACACCTCTTACTGGGGATGTGCCCACAACCAACATGCCCTTGTTCGGAATCAAACCTTGGAAATCATGCCCCCCCCTCTAAACGTAATTCAAGTCCCTCTTCTTCCCCTTAGCCATTCCTGCCCCACTAGACTTTTTCTACCTCTACCCCCTCTTCCCCATAGGGTCTGCTCCAACGGCTTCTGATCACCCCCCTGTCTGTCTATCTGTCTGTCTATCTCTCTCCTCTCCCATCCTCCCTCTCAGCTTTATTAAATACAATCTACAGGCTGATACTCTATCCACTGAGCCAAACCTGTTAGGGCACAGCACTTAATTTTTATTTTATCTTTTTTAGAGATTTTATGGTTCACCTCTTACTATATGGCTTTCATTTGTTTCCAAAATAGGGTTTTCAGCAAATAAGTATGTGAGTGGAAAAGGCAAATGCCATCTAAGATCTGGAGTCAGGATAGTTAGTGAAATTGACATTAAAACGAAGTGCATTAAAATATTTATATGCGCATTTGTGAAATATTAATGCAGCATCCTGGAAACACACAGGCAAACACTCTTGGGCAGGACACCCTCGGACCTCTTTAGAGACTTGCCTTTTAACCAGACACAGCTTTCGTCACTGGGAATGTTCCATATGCCTCAGAGCACACTGTGCAGCTGGAAGTGTCAGCTGGTAAAATGTCCTCTACAGAGTCAACTCTACACACCGCTCCCCTGGGCCAGCTGCCCCACCCTTCTTCACACTGGAGGGTACCAACCATCTGCCAGTAGCGAGGCCACGAGGACTGAGCCCTGAGCCCTGAATGGGAGTGGGCACCTGGCTCTGGCTGCTGGACTTCCAGGCATCCTTGGAGATGTGCATCCTCAAAGGTCTCCCTCTGCCCACGGCTTGGCCCTCTGCTTCATAAGAGATTCTGGAAAACCCAGCTGATGCTGGGCTGAGGGGACTTGGTCAATAGGACTTTAAATAACCTGGATGAGAGGAGGAAGAGGAAGAGCAGTCTGTGGGCAGGATGGAGTCTGGATGCCCAGGACTTACAGGATGTGGACCCCTTTTGGGGGAGGGGGGGCATTCCTGTTCATTATCCTCGCTCCACATCTAGAACAGTGTCAGGCACATGTTGGTTCACTGACCGACTCATAGCCCATGGTATTGTCTGCTGAGGTGCCCCTACCCGGGGGCAGTGTCCTTTACTGTGAGAAGACGGACAACAGCAAGTGTGGCCATTTCTCTTTCCCAGGAATGAAGGATGAGTCAGGGAGCAGTAAGGGATAGATGAGAACTTGTTTAAAATGAGGCAAAGGGAATGCTCCATTCATTTCCACAGTGTATCATGCTGAAGCAAGGAGCATAGAATCAGGAGTCAGGAAGTCTGGGCTTTCATCAGATGTTTTCAAAAATGTGCTGTGCCATAGACCCAGTCGCTTCCTCTATCTAGTCTTCAGCTTCCTCTTCAGTAAAATGTTGGGTCAAGATCATTCGGGGGTCTGATGTGGCGGGGGCCAAACATGGCAGGGATCTCCCTTTCCGCGGCCCACACGAAAAAAGAGAGAGGAATGAACCGGTTCTAAGTGGAGGCGGCCAAGGATTGAGAAATAAGAGAAATAAAGAGAGAAGACACAGAGATAGATTTAAAGCTGGGAGCTGGGTGGACCGCCATCCTGTCTGCTGGAGAGGCAGGAAGATGATGACGATGACCCCTCCCAGCACATTTGTTTTATACCCCCAATACCAGGAAGTAACACTAACTTATTTGCATTCTTAAGCAGGCCTTAGCATGCCTGGATTTACATATCTAGTCCTGCCCCTGCCGACACCTGGGCTGATATGAAGGCCAAGCTGACATGTTCGCCATCTTGGGGAAACATGTTCCCAGGGTGTGGCTCTGCCTACGCCTTGAGTTCAGCTGATAATAATTAAGGAAAATTGCGCATGTACCTTCCCAGGCGATCCTCTACAAAAATCTAAAAGGCTAACCCCGTGGTCATGACTAAAAACTCAGACAGGGTTTGTCAAAGCCATTCACTCTCGCCTTCCTAGCAGGAGGGCAGTGCCTTGATTTCCTAAGAGCACCCATAAGCTCCCATTCGAGAGCATTCCTTGCTGGTCTATGTGACCAGACACAGCCAAGAGCCCTTCACTGGCCCCGGGGCCCTGAACACAATTCTCAGCCTCGGCTGAGAGGCTGCAGTGAGGCCCAGGGCTGGCTTTGCCTGAGAACTACAAGTCAACGCACAGCTTTCTGCCACAGCCTGCAGGCCCACTCCACTTCAGCCTACAAGCTTTTCCAGAACTGGATGGCCCTTCTGTTCCTGTGGGCTCTTTTGCTCAGAATCCATCCACTTGGATGAAGGCAGCTTGACCCACTCTCTCACATGAGGGTCTTAAAACTTGCTATGAACAAAGGGAAAGGCTGCCTCAAGCCATTTTCACTTTTTCCTCTCTCCTTCCTGGCTCACTTTTCCCCTCTCCTTCCAAAATGTTCCCTTTCTTTCCACCTCTTCACAGGTTCTCTCTCTGTTTCAGGGCCTCACCCTGACCTTTTTGATTTCTGGTTTCCAAAGGTCTTCTGTTGGGTTTCTGGGAAACATGGCCAAGATATCCATGTCCATTAAGGTTCCTTTACCATATTCACTCCATGGTCCAGGTAATCCACCTCTCTTCCCTCTCCTTTCTCCCTGTGGGTCCTTCTTTATCCTTCTCCACCCACATCTTCATTTATTTATTTAAAAAATATTTTTATTGATTTCAGAGAGGAAAAGAGAGGGAGATAGAAACATCAATGATGAGAGAGAATCATTGATTAGCTGCCTCCTACATGTCCCCCACTGGGGATCTAGCCCTCATCCTGGCCATGTGCTCTGACTAGGAATCGAACTGTGACCTCCTGGTTCATATTTCAATGCTCAACTACTAAGCTATGCTGGCTGGGCTCCATCCACATCTTTAAAAAGTCCCCTTTAGCCGAAACCGATTTGGCTCAATGGATAGAGTGTTGGGCTGCGGACTGAAAGGTTCCGGGTTCGATTCCTGTCAAGGGCACATACCTTGGTTGCGGGCACATCCCCGGTGGGGGTGTGCAAGAGGTAGCTGGTCGATGTTTCTCTCTCATCGACGTTTCTAGCTCTCTATCCCTCTCAATTCCTCTCTGTGTGAAATCAATTAAAAAAATAAGTAAAAAATTTTAAAAAGCCCCCTTTCATAATTGGCAGGTGCATTTGTTTTTTGGGGGCTGTTTTAATAAATACCACAGACTGGTGGCTTATACAATGGAAATGTATTCCTCACTGTTCTGAGGCCAGAAGTGTCAGATGGAGGTCTTGACAGGATTGGTTTCTTCCGAGGCCTCTCCCCTTGGCGTGTTGATGGCTGCCTTTTCCCTGTGTCTTCACATGGTCTCTCTTCCGTGTCCTAATCTCCTCCTCTTACAAAGACACCAGTTATATTGGAATTAGGGTCCACTGGCCTCATTTTAACTTGCTGACTTCTTTAAAGACCCTATGGCCAAATATTGTCATATTCTGCGGTATAGGGGTCCCGAGACACATCTGGGCCAGGGGGCAGCCCATCCCATCAGGGATGATGGTGATAGTAATAGAGACGGTACAGCCATTACATGCCATATCTGATTTAGGGGAGGATTAGAAGATAGGTGCCTTATAGTCCAATGGAAGTAGTTTTGTATGACCTTCTGAGACACTGTCCACTCAGCTCACCCTAACCCTGGGTGCTCCCCTAGAGTCACAGGCACCTGAGCTAAAGAAAATCAGATGGAGAGAGACCTAAAAGAAGCCAAGCATCCGATAAACTAGAAGTTTAATAAAAATGGGAAGAAAAAAAAAAAGTTACAATACAGTGGGCTGGCAATGGGCTGCTTTAGAAGGTCTGATACATTGGTCGACATGGTGTGTTGACTCCATGTGGGTTCCAGGAGGTCACAGGATTGGTCCCTCATGACGAAGATTCACTTTGGCTTGTCCCCATGGGGGATGCCTCTGTCCTCCTGGTGTCATGTTTGACCAGGCTGGTTCTGAACTCCCTCATCCTGTGAGGAAAACTGCCTGATTCTGACCTTCACCACTGATGACAATGTTCATTTACATCGTTTTCTTAAGTCCACGCCTGTACCCCAGCTTCTGAGGTTGCCAGATGGATACGAGCCCGTTTCATGGAGAAGAAGAGCTTTGGAGATGCTGGCAGCTCCTCCGTAGGAAAAGCCACACAGCTCCCGGGGTCTCCTGGATCCCCTGCAAACTTCTCTGAATCCTGCAGGCCCGTCTCTCTTGCAACATGTCCAGAAATGCAGAATGCCTGGGTGCTGGTGACAAACGGCACGGAGAGCCGGGTCAGTTAGGAGGTACTGCTCCTCCTTCGGGGGAGGAGGGCTTTCCTCTTGGCGATGTCCTCCTCTGTGTCACTCTCACAGTTCCTCTGGAAGGAAAAAAGAGGCAAGAGGGCCATGAGATGTCAGGATTGGGGTTGTGCCACGCAACCTGGCCTGGTACACCTGGGCCAGGGGGCTGCAAGCCAGAGAGGTGGATGTTGAGAGGAAGGCTGTTGTTCTGTTCAGAGACTGGGCACGGGGCGGATAGGGTGGGGAAGGACCTGAAGTGAGGCCAGATCAAACGCCAGGAGGAAGGAAAACAGGTTCCCTCGTGTCTAGGGGGAAACAGGTGCCAGGAGAAGCCCAATTACAACAATAATGAAAATTGTATCTGGTGGCTGCCACATGGCCAAGACCACTTGGATACGTGGGTCTGTGGTCTGATAGGCCTCCTGAGCTCAGACTAGAGAAAAGTGGGGAGCAGGGAGCCACCGGGACCCCCCCCTCCAATCCCTGACAGTGACCACTCTTTCTCTCCTTCCTCCACTAGCTTAAGCTGCACCCTGGGCGAGCCTTTGCCATGCGGTTTTTCCAGGGAAATAGCTTTTGTGCTCCGTTTTTATGAGAGAGGAAAAAATTCGAGTTCATTCCATGGCTAAACCAAAGCTGAGGCCCTGGAGGTCACAGTGTCTTTTTCATTCAGGCCCCACTGATCTACTGAATTATTAAAGTTACTTTAAAAAAAAAGTACTAATTCAGAAAGACTTAAGCAAGTTATAAAAAATATCTGCTGTAAGATGTTCAATTTTAATGCTTCCTAAATGAAATGATCTTTTTTCTTTCTTTTTTTTTTTTCTTTTTTCTTTTTTTTTTTTCTAAGGAAAATCCCTTTGGGAAACTTTGTATTGGATGTCCAGGACCCAACCTTTTTCCACTTGCAGGATGAGCCATTGTGCTGATGGTGCTGAGCATTCGAGTAAAAAGAGGACTTTTTAAAATGCTTATATAAGGACAAGTCTTAGGCTAGAAATTGATGGTCTTTTTAACACTCTCTGGTCCTCTCTCCCCGCAGCCTGCATTATATCAGGGCAACGCAGCTGGAAGGCATGCCTGCTGTCCACTTATGTCTTCCCAGGGTCTCCTCCCCTTCCCCTGGTCCCAGCCACTCGGAAATCTAAGGTCAAGATCAACTTTAGCCAAATACATCCTGGACCAAGTGGCAGTAACAATAAAAATAACTCAAGCTCTGCTGAATAGCAACTTTTTCGTGTGTGTCAGAGCCAAACAATAAAAAAGTAAGCTGGGGGAAATTCTGCCTGTCATTAGCAGGAATTTTCAGAGGGAGCGAGTCCAACTCCTTTTATAGCAGATGAGAAAAGCGGCCAGGGAAGGGACATAGCCTCGCCAAAGCCACGTAGTTGTTTCAGTTCTCTGGAGCCATAAATCCTCAAGTCCTGAGCAAGAGCAAGAATCAACAAGAGCTGAGTCTGAAGAAAGTGGACCCCAGGATGTGGGGGAGGAGGGAGGAACACAGGGACTGTGCCGGGTCCTGGGATTCAGCCCGGGTGCTGTGTCCTAAGGCTGCTCAGGGCTGACTGCCCATCTGTCTCCGGCAGCTGCCTTCCAGGCCTGTCCTGAGCAGGAGTCACCTTCTGTCCTGACCTATGCCACCCCAGACACTCCTGGGGCCCTCACCACACTCAGCGAGCAGTGAGGAGCAACTGTCCAGGGAACTTCTAACAGCTGAAATACTGGCACTGCATTCAGAAGTGCTAGCCCTGCATTGTAAAGTCTACAGGAGTATTTTAGACAACAGTAACCACTAACGTGTATTGAGCACTTGGAGTGTCAGGCTCTAAGAATATGTCATCATTTAATCCCCATGACTGCCCTATGAGATAGGAACTGTTGTTAACCCCTTTTTACCAATGATAACATTTTGGCACAGAGAGGTTAAGTAATTTCCTCAAAGTCACACAGCTATTAAGTGGCAGATGTGAATCCTGGCAGTCTGGCTCCAGAGGCCCCACTCTTGATCAGTGTATTATAAGTCCCTCAATTTAAATGTACACAAAAAAAATGGTAACAAGCTAATCAAATATATCTAATTATTATTATTGGTGTTTAGCTAAAGCTACACAGAAATAGAACAATTGAAACATGAATGTAAAGCTCCCATTCTACAGCAGATCTTTGGATTGCCAGGAATACATTTTGGATTGCCAGTGGTAGTCTCATTATCCGGAGTCCTTGGATCCCGGCAGGCTTCCTGTCCTCAGGGAAAGGCTGGGCAGTGAGGCGGCAGCGGCTGTGCCTCTGAAGGCCCATCGGGAGAGGACTGAGATCCTCCAGGGCTCTGCTTCTCCTGGCACCGTCTAGGTGGTCCCTCTGAACACCAGGCCCCCACCAATCACAGGGCAGAGGAATGCAGACCAGCAGAACTGGCTGGAAACAGTTAAGACCCAACTTCTGCCCAAACCGATTTGGCTCAGTGGATAGAGCGTCAGCCTGCGGACTGAAGGGTCCCAGGTTCAGTTCCGGTCAAGGGCATGTACCTTGGTTGGGAGCACATCCCCGGTAGGGGTGTGCAAGAGGCAGCTGGTCGATGTTTCTCTCTCAACGATGTTTCTAACTCTCTATCCCTCTCCCTTCCTCTCCGTAAAAAATAAATGAAATATATATATTTTTAAAAGATTCTAAAAAAAAAAAAAATCCACCTGCTCCCCTTTATCCCCGGGTTCCAGGCCACCGTGAGTTCCACCCCAGAAGAAGGCACTGCCTTTATTTACCAGGCTGTCATCTGGCCTCAGGTGCACCTTCTTCATCAGGGTGCGGGTGAGGTGGTTGCACAGGGAGACGATGCTGAAAGAGAGCTGAGGGAGGGGGAGAAGAGGAAGTGCCAGGTGAGAATGTGCACAGAGACCCTGGAGAGAACAAGGAACCCCCCACCCGCAGCCCCCCACCCCTGAGCCCTGACGCACCTTCCACCGCCTGCGGACGTACTGCTTCTTGAAGTTCTCCAGGTTGACCACGGACTCCCTGCGCACCAGGGCTTGCTGGTTGTCCACCGGCTGGAGACAAAGCAGAGCATAGCCACTGATGCTGAGCTTTGGGCAGCAGCCACCCCTCTCCCCAGAACCCCCAACCACACGCCATCCTTAGCCTGACCCTGGCACCCTCTGCCGGGCAGCGCATGCGGAGGGATATCACACCGAGGACAGCGTTTACAGATGTCCCAGCTGTTCAGGAGATGCCCTCGGTGCCCCTGAGCTATTATTACCACAGCCAGATGCACAGGCTGGCAGGGCAGAGGCGGAGCTTCCGCAAGAAGAGAGGGAGGCAGGGCTTGCGATCACAAATCACTTTGGGGAAGGGTCACTGTGCAGCAGTCTAGGATGCCCATTGTGCCCTGGGCCTGGTGGGCTTTAGCAAACGGATGCCTTGTTGCCAAACAGGACATTGTACTCCATTCCAAAGTAAATGGGAGGAAGTAGGGGCTGTGATGGAGGTCAAGAGGAAACGGAATGTGTAGTTGCCTTTCGTGGCCTGAGAGTCAAGGCTCAGCTTCGATCCTGACTTCTCCAAGAAGCCTGCATGGCTTTTCTGAGCCTCAGTTTTCTCATCTGTAACATGGGGATCAGAAGTAACATTGTATATCAGGGTTGTTTAGGATTGAATGAACGTGGGTATGTAAAGTGTTTAACCTAGAGATGCTCAATAAATAGAAATAAATTATTGATAGCCTTCCTGCCTTCTCCATCCTCTCTTTTTAAAATATATTTTATTTTAAAAATTGCTTTATTTTTACCAAGAAGATGAACATATTTAATGTATACAATTTGATGAGTTCATTCCCTCTTAATTCCTCCCCTTCTGTAAATAAAACAAGGATTTCTGAGACCAAGAGACGGGTTTTGGGGGTTCTATGAATTTTCTGAAATGGTTTATAAATTTTAGTGTGTAAACTTGAAGGTGAATGTTCACAGCAGCATCATTCATAACAATCAAAAAGTAGAAACAGCTGAAATGTACATTAACTGATGATGGACAGACAAAATTCGGTCTATCCACACAATGGAATATTACTCATGAAAAAGAATGAAGTGGTGATCCGTGCTGCACATGAATGAACCTTGAAAACAGGCAGAAGCAAAAGTCTGCATATTGTGCGATTCTATTTGCATCATATGTACAGAATAGGCAAACCCATGGAGACAGATGATAGATTAGTTGCCACGGGGTGCAGAGAGGGAAGAATGGGGAATGACTGCTAGAGGGTATTAATAAAAGGGTCTGGAATTATACAGTGACGATTGCTGCACAATCTGGGAATATACTAAAAACCACTGAATTGTATACTTTTAAAAGATACGTTTATAAAATGTAAAGTATATCTCAAACAACTTAGAATTTATGTGCAGATACACATTTCTTCTGAGGAGAGTCGACAGCTTTCACCGATTCTCAAAGGATGCTGGGACCTCAGGAAATGAATGGCCCAGCTCTACTTCTCTCTCTGCTCTGACGGCCTCCACCCAGCAATGCCTCACTTGGCACTTCAGTGAATGTGGGGCAAGGCAGCTCATTGGTTCCTGAGTGCTGGTTTTACTCTTAACCACCCTTGTTTAGTTCCCATCATGGTGCTAGGCTCCAGGGGAAGCTGGTGCACACTGCTGGCCCACACTGCCCTGGACTTAACATCTTCCATGTCCACCCAACCCCCCAGCGTCCTGGAAGGCCTCTGTGTTTTAAAGCCCAATTCAAATGTGACCTCCTTTAAGACGACTTCCAAGAAACAACGTCACTCTCCCCAACGTGACCAAAACACACGTGAGCACCCTTATTACATATATCACCCACCTCAGCCCCACTATTGGAAAACAACCTGAGGGCACAGAATTTTCTTTATGTGTTTGTCACTGTTCCTGGCCCCACCTCCTAACCACTCAGAGCATTCCACAATGGGTGCTGGCTAGTGGTATGTTGAAATTGTTTCCCTGAGCTGCTGAAGAGACCAACTGGAATAAAACCTGGGACTTAGGACCTGCTCACTCCTGCCAATGAGAGACCAGGCACCTGGGTTGGCAGCCATGACAAGGTGTCATAACACCATGACAAGGTGTCATAACACCAAGACTCCCCACAGCTCTGCCTGAGAGTCAGCAGAGTTCTGTCAGGGAGAATGGGGGGGGGGGGTGGTCAGAGAGGAGAGTGTACACAACCTTGACACATGAGAGAGAGCTAGGGTAAGTCACCCCCCCAAATTAGAAAAAGTGGCTTAGGTCAAAGAGCATAGGAGGACAGAAGGGAGGGGGAGGAGAAAGAAAGATGGAGAGGGAAGAGAAGAGCATAGGGCACCGAGGGGAGCATCGGGCCAGCTCTGCCATTCCTTCCTTAATTGCCTTCACCTCCTCTGCCACACCTGCAAGCCCAGCCCTGGGCCGAGGACTCACCTGGAAGAGAGACGCAGAAGAGAGCAGAGCCTGCCCATTCCTGGTATCAAACCCTTCCAGCAGCTTCCTGGCTCTCTTAATGGAACTCAGCATGTTCACCAAGACCCCCAAGGCCTGAACCACCTGGGTCCTTCTCCAACCTGATTTCCTCCCTCTCTCTTTCCTATCGCTGTGGCTCCCATTACACAGGTCTGCTTGCTAGTTCCAGGAACCCATGGTCTCAGGGTTTTGCCCTGGCTCCTTCATATTCACTTTGTCACTTTGTTCTGGTCCTTGCTTAAATGTCACCTCCTCAGAGAGGCCTTCCTTAGTCATCTACATAATAAAAGCCTAAGGGACTGTTAGAGCAGAACAACCAGAATGCCTGTTCACTATGATGCGCATTGACCAACAAGGGAGCAGATGCTCAATGCAGGAGCCTCCCCCTGGTGGTCAGTGCACTCCCACACGGGGAATGCTGCTCAGCCAGAAGCCGGGCTCATGGCTGGCAAGTACAATGGACAGTGGTGGAAGCCTCTCCTGCCTCCGTGGCAGCACTAAGGTGCAGTGAGCCCAGTGAGCAGACAGGCGGTAAGGAACAAAGGATCCTGGACTGAGAGAAGGCGCAGGCCAGGCTGACAGACATCAGCCCCCCTACCCCCCAGTGCATGAATTTTGTGCACCGGTTCTCTAATCTTATATAAAATACCACCCAGCTGCTCCACACAGCTCATTGTGCCTGGGTCCTACTTTTTCCCAGCATGTGTCACTGTCATTTTATTCTGCAATTGTATGGGTGTTTTGTGTTTTTTTTTTGTTAGTTCCCCTCTCCTGCACCTCCCAGCAACTAGTGTCTCCTTTCCAATGTGATTTTCTACCTTCCCAATCCACAGAATATGTCTACCTCTACCTTCACTGATGCCTGCAATTCACCTTTGGGCCTAATCCTTGCAGGGGACACTCACATTTGGAGAGTTTGATGAGGCAGGAGGAGTCTACCCACCTACTGATTGGCACCACTGCCAGGAGAGAGATGCTTAAACCCCATGGCTGGAAGTCACCATGCTGGCTAGGGGAATCCCGTTTATGAGAATCCCATCTTCCAACTGGTCTAGCAGTGCCAGCAACAGCAGAGAGGCCCAACTAAAATATCAGGTGGGATCACTCACAGAGGCCATGCCTGGGAGGTGATGCAATTTCTTCTAGGGCCCTGTCTATATGCTACACAAAACAGCATGCACTCTGAGGAGGAGGCCACCGGGGCTATAAATCTATCAGCCTGGCCCTTCCTAATCAATGGCCTCCTTGGTTGCTAAGAGAGATCACCAAATGCTGACACTCTCATCTAAGCCTTAAAAATCAGAGATGCAAATTCTGCAGTGAAATCTGTTCCCAGAAGGAACATGGCACTAACACTTCTGATAAACTGAGAGTATGAGGGGGGTGGAGCTATGTTCTGCCTGACCCCCACCCCCATCTCTCTGCAAACAGACAGTGCCCGCCTTCGTCCGGCCTGTAGTCCCAGGGATACCAGAGCGTCAGGGCAATTCTGACCAGGCTCCTAGGAGCATGTTTTGTGTCTCAGAAAAATGTCAGGGAGGCAAGAAGACAGAATGCTGTGTCCAAAGTCAGGCTTTGTTTTATAGGCGCAAATGCCTTTGACAAAGCCCAGTGGGGTGACCTAGGTCAGCACCCCATCCATAGAGCAGGGAGATGAAGCAGCAGCCACCCTCCAGGTATAAAAAAGAACCCTGACTTTTCAGAGGAGGCACTCCGGACGATTTTTCTTTAAATACCAGGCCTCCTCTAGAAACTGCAAACAGATTGCAAGTTTTCAAACCTCCATCTGTGTCATTTCTCCAGCCCCATCCGCCACTGAAAACCAGGGAAACCTGAGTGCCCACTTCCCTCTCCTGCCCAGGTCTGTTACTCTACCCCCCCAACCCCCCTTCACCGATCTCTCTATAGGCAGCCCCTTCACCTTTGCCTTTTGCTGGCTGGTTTCCTGGCTGAAGCCTAGACTCTGTCTAGACCTGTGGTCGGCAAACTGCGGCTCGCAAGCCACATGTGGCTCTTTGGCCTCTTGAATGTGGCTCTTTCACAAAATATCACGGCCTGGACGAGTCTATTTTGAAGAAGTTTAAGTTTAAAAAATTTTGCTCTCAAAAGACATTTCAATCGTTGTACTGTTGATATTTGGCTCTGTTGAATAATGAGTTTGCCGACCACTGGCCTAGACTCAGTTCCTGAAAGGAGCGATGTGTGAAGCTAAGTGGTGCCTGATCTCTGTCTCCTTGTAAACAGAGCTGCAGAAATTATGTGTCCCTGCAGGTTGTCCCTGCAGAAAACAAAGGCAATGGGAAGAGCCAAGAATGCCCTTTTCTTTGCCTGATCTGGTCTCCCTTTTCCCAGTTAGGTCTCAGCATGGAAACTCTCACTTCTGATCCACTCTCCAGGGCCTTCAGTCTTCAGCCATTTTCCGTCCCCAGAAAGAGTTTCCAAAGCTCCCCCTTCTGTACTTCACAGAAGACGGGCAACTGGAGAGACACAACAACCAAATGCCACGGGTGGATGTTGTTTGGGTCCTGATCTGAACAAACCAGCGATAACAGATCATCCTTGAGAAAAGTGGGGACCTG